GGCTTATACACAGATGGCCTCGGAATTACGAATGCAACACCTCGCAAGATAGAAACATTAAGAAAATGTATGCGCCATCTTCAACAAATACAGTACGGTATAAAAATCCCCATTAAGCTAACAAAAAAATTATAAACTTTCTAGACATAACATTAAACCTGAATAGTGAAAAATACATGCACTACGTGAAAACTGAACAATACACCGCTATGCATTCACAACAAATCAAATCACCCACCAGGAATCCTTAGGAACATCCCAGAGAGTATTAACAAATGCCTCTCAGAAATTTCATGCGATGAAGAGTCATTCAATGAGGCAGCACCACTCTACTAAAAGGCCCTGGACAAAAGTGGATGCAACCATCGTCTGAAATTCTCACCCCTCCACAGGCAAATGACACCACCAACCCCAAAAAATATTGAACCAGGAACATAATTTGGTATAACCCCATTCAGCAAGAATAGCTACCAACGTTGGAAAAATCTTCCTTAGAACAATAGATGAGGATTTCCAACCGGACCAAGCATTACGCAAACTGTTCAACCGCAAAACTATAAAAATAAACTACAAGTGTATGGAGAAAGAAGAAATTTAACACTGAACTAAGTAAATATATGTGAATTAAAGGACAATAATATGGACTACACACTTAAATGGGAAACCCTCAAACTATATAAATTAATTTGTTTGTTTATAAAATAAAAGGAAAATAACACTTTGCATTATATAATCTATTCAAGAAAGGAAAAGGTTGACATTGCTTTTTGTGAACAAAGAAATGAAAGTGAGTTTTTTATTTTACTTTAATAAGGAAATAGTTTACAATACTTTTGTTTTCTTTTTCAAATTTTAATAAGTTTTCAGTTTCAGTTTATTTATTTGACCAAAAGCAAACAAATCACTTTTTCAAGCCAGCCAGCTATTAAATTTGTTGGGTGGCTTCTGTTCTAAGGAATGTCTCCCACATCCTACAATTTCAATTTTTTTAAATTCTTATTTGTAATTTAATAATAATTGTAGGATTGAATAAAATGTTTTGTGATAGTGATTGTAATGGGACCCACTTTGGATGACCTTATGAACCCTCCGACCACTAATAATGGTTTAAATTTTGAATAAAAATATAATTTCATTTTTGGCCAGTAAGTGCACCTTTCTCCACGAATGCAAATAGAAAAAATTATTTTGTAAAAAACAGCATCTGTGTGTAGGGGGACCCTACATAAAAAAAGCCATTGCCCTTCGGAGATAGGATGATCGTCTCTGATGCTGATCCAATGTTGGGTGAGGTCTTAAGGAGAGAAGGAGTAATTTGTGGTTGTTCTGTTGCTGGAAGAGAACTTTTAGATGTAAGTGGGAATCCTCCTTCAGAAAGTTTTAGTTTTCTAGATGCTTGGAAATGCACTTTGTTTCATTCTGAGACGTCTCTTTATTCACTACGGATTCATAGTTTTTTTCTACTTTACTATGAATAATTAATTATGGTGATGAAGGTTCATTGAACCTGGTCCCCCAAGCTCCGGGAGCCCGGATCTATAAGGGGCGCGTCCCCTTATAAAAATCTAATAAAGCAGGGCATAAAAATAAATCCAGATTGATAAAATTTATCTTCATATCATACTGGAGATTATAATTTTAAAATTATTAAAAATAATCACTTATGCCTAACAGTGGCGTAAGCATCACAGGTTCAGGCGGTTCATTGAAACTGGGCCCCCAATCTCCAAGGCCCTGGTCTTTAGGGGCCTTCCCCTTGTACACAAAAATCTAATAAATAATGCATAGAAAAATTTATATACGATATACAGAGTATAGGCCTAGGCCTATATATCCAGGATCATGCCACTTGAATCATTACATTATATCAAAAATGTATTGTACAATACTTGATTTTATGGGTTTGTGCCTGGAATGATGTTCGGTGGGGGATGTTAGTAAATTAGTGTAGATTAATTCAATAAAAGAGTAGTAATTGCTAATTTATATGCATCAGGGTCCCGATGGTACTCTCGAACCAGGGCCACTCAGAACTTAGTTTCGCCACTGCCTCCCATCCAGCTGTCTTGATTGCCAATAAAGAATAAAAATGTATTTCCCTAAGTGTGAAGAACCTCGTATCCTAGTACTAGATGAACTTGTCAAGTAGTAATCACTTTCCCTTTTGATTCTCATTTCCTCTCTCTCTCTTCAAGTCCCTGGAAGCTCTAACGGTTTAGTTTTACATGAGCCGAATAAAACATACAGTAGTACACTATAGGAAAATAACCTAAGCAAAATAATTTTCCTTTAGTGTATGATGCATGCTCTACTAATTGCTTTATAAGTCAATCCACTGTAGTTTTAATTTTATTTTTTGATAACCAACTAGTGTAGCAGTCATCGGTTGCTGTATTGATGAGATTAGTATATTATGTGCGTATACATTAGCTGTGCGTATGCTAATCTATGCTCCTGAGTACGTACGCGTTCAGTACATAAAAGTATGAATATACGATGTTACTATTACTATTGTAATTGTGTTAGAAAGAACTCGTTTGTAATGCTATTTTGATAGACATTCGTCAAAGAAATAAACATTTCAGCATTAGAGAAAGAATCATGCGATTATTTCATAACTAAGCTAGGCTATGGCTTAGTGGGAGGTTGTCTCGGCAGCCTCCTGTTTGGACATAGGCCTACGTCCAAATCTGTTCCTGGAGTCTTTAAAATAGGTCTAGAATGTTCCTATTAAACGTTCAGTTTGTTTTGTTTATGAGGGTCCATTGATTCAATGAATTCTTTATTTGTTCATACTTAATATTGAATTTGAAGTAACTTTTTTTTTGTCCTTTTTTCAAACACTGTATTTACCTTTCTTTGATCATTTAAAATTAAAAATTTGTTGTCAGCTAAAGATCCCATCCCAGTTGGTCTCCGTTCGCGTGTCGTTTACAAATTTGTATGTGCAGGCTGTAATGCTTGTTACGTTGGCGAAACAAGTCGACATTTCTCTGCACGCATGCGTGAGCACCTAACACTGGATGGAAACTCGCATATATTAAAGCATCTGAAAAGTTCACGTCACTGTAAACAATCAGCCAATGAGGACTGTTTCACAATACTGGACTCCGCCTCTACAACCCAAACTCTGAAAATCAAAGAAGCCTTGCATATTCAGTGGGAGCAGCCCTCACTGAACAAACAGCTTTTTCATGTTAATTTATCTTTGTCACTCTAAGTTCATTCCATTCTCCCCTTA